CTACTTAAAAATATTACAAAGACTATGAAAGAAACCACATATGCAAATGTGTGTGCATGTATGAATATATGTGTATGTTACCATATCTGTCAGTATCTTGCATTGTCTTGTGTTCTGCCTCTCCAAAATTGTTCTGCTTCTCATCTCTCTTGTGCTTCCTTTTCTCTATTCTTCACTGAATTCCTGAAAAGCTCTCTCTCTCTATCTTTCAAGCCTCTTGAACATTTCCCCAGATCATTAAGGAAATACCATCTTCAGGTCCCCACTGGGTCCACGTGAGCTCCAATCTCTATCAACTCGTGTTTGAGGCATATGCAATATGATCCTTTGCTACATCTCCAGTATAGGCTTTGCCGTCTCCCTGTAGAAATGCTTAGGGTGAAATGACCCGTTTTCTCTCTTTTGTTTTGTTTTTAACTTTTATTTTAGGTTCAGGGGTACACAAGCAGGTTTATTATGTAGGTAAACTTGTGTCATAAGGGTTTGTTGCTAAGATTATTTCATCACCTAGGCATTAAGCCTAGTACTCAATAGTTGGGTTTTTTTTTTTTTTTTTCTCCCTTCCCTTTTCCCACCACTTGCTTTCAGGAATGCCCCAGTGTCTGTCGTTCCCTTCTTTGTGTTCATGTGTTCTCATGATTTAGCTCTCACTTATAAGGGAGAATATTCAGTATTCGATTTTATGTTCCTGCATTAATTTTTTGAAGATAATAGCCTCCAGCTCCATCCATGTTCCTGCAAAGGATATAATTTTATTCTTTTTATGGCTGCATACTATTCCATGCTATATGTATATCACATTTTCTTTATCCAGCCTACCACTGATGGGCATTTAGGTTGATTCCATGCCTTTGCTATTGTGAATAGTGCTGAAGTGAACATACACATTCATGTGTCTTTACGATTGAACACTTTATATTCATTTTGGTAACCCTCCTTTTCCAACATCCGGGCTTTATTCCATGATCTATGCATTTCTAAAACAGTGCCATTCAACTGTAACTTCTTCATGAATCTTAATTTTCAAATATGACTACAATAAACTATCCTTGATTCTGCAGCTTGGTTCTTATATTTATGTACCCCGCAACAGTTTCTAAAACAGGGGAGGACTCCATGGGTAAGCAATTTAAAAATGAATTGATTACTATTCACATCATCTTAACTTTGTGCATGACTTAAGCCATCATCATTGGAATTCTCACTCTGAGATATTACATTACATTATACTAGCCTTATCACCCTGCAGAAATCAGCCACGGAATTACTTGGCTATAGCTTATGATGTTCCAAAGAATGCATTTAATGAGAGACTAATCAAGACATTGATTACTCAGCTTACATTGGCATTTCTGATCTAGAAGCCCAGCCCATTCATTCCAAGGTTCATGAGGATTAGAAGCTATTCTATCCATGACTCTGATACCACAAAGGGTAGCACCCAATCTGTCAATTAATCTGACATGCATTGGGCTAATAAGGTAGCAATATGATGTAACATCATAAGGATTGTTTTCTTATGTTTGGTGCTAAATTTCAACAGCATTTGAAATTTATTGAATTTGTCACCATTTTAATACCAGCAATATGCACTAGCAAAGGAGTGGTTTTCTGAGAGTATATTTCTATGTTGTCAGGCTCTCATATCACAAAAGATAGGCTGGAAGAATGCTGAGACCTTGTCAAAATTAACTTAGACTTAGTGGATTTTACTCTGTGTCCCAGAGCCAGCGCCACACATAAGTGGTTTTTAATTCGTTTTCTTCCTCTGCAACTCCTGCATAGAGTGGTAACAATAAACCGATACTCCAAAGTTATTAGAAGAATATACAGCATATCTAATTATTTCTTTATAAGTAATTGGATCAAATATTTAAGCATAAAAATTGATAAATCTCATCACATAGTAAAAGAAAACTGTATGTCAGAAAGCATAATTTTAAAAGGTGGAAAATATAAATAACCAGCTGAGAAAAAGTAAAATACATACGTCAGGAATAGTATTAAAATTCATGGTAAATAGTACATCCTTACAACTTTATAGAAAAGAAATAAGCCTGTCTACAAATCAATGGGCAAAATGCATGAGAAAGACAGACAGCTTGGAAAGAAATACAAATTTCATATTTGCATATACAAGTAACCAAAGACTTGTATATAAAACAAGGATGGTCTTTCCAGGATGAGGGCTGAGTCTGCCACTGAATTACCTGGCTGTGGCTCATGTTGTTCCAAACAATGTATTTAATGCGAAAGTAGTTAAGATATTGGTTACTCAGCTTACATTAGTAGCTCTTATCTAGAAGCACAGCCCATTCATTTCAAGGACGATAAGGATTAGAAGCTATTCCTTTGCATCGACTAGAAGAAACTTAAAATCAAGGACCAAAGAGTATTGCTGAAGGTGATAGGAAACGGGTCTTCTAAATTGGCACAATAATGAAAATTCGGATGAAATTTGCCGACCCATTACTCAACAAATAATCATTTTGCGTATACAAATTAAAATTTAAAATGAGCATACTCTTTATCCAGCGGTTGTACTTCCAAGAACTTAAGGAGAAAAACTTTGATAAACAAGAATGATTACTATAGAAAATTAAAATAGCATTAAGAGTTAGGAAAATTGCAAGATGTAAGAATAAATCTATATTAACTAGCAACAAATAATTCAGAAATATAATTTAAAAAGTGGCTATTTAAAATAGAAAAAATACATAAAATCTAAAATATAATTTTAATGTAAAATATATTTGACAAAATGAGACTATTAAACAGCATTACAGAATAACATAACAGAGAGATACACCATATTTTTGGGTGAGTAGAAAAAAGTTATAATAAAATATGACAACTATGCATAAATTAATGCATATTCTTAATGATGTTTTCATCAAAATTCTAATGTTTTGTTTTGTTTCATCTTCATTGTGTGGGGCATGACAAACTGGCTCTAGTTCTTACATAAAAGAGCAAAGGTTTAGTAATCGCCAAGCCAATCTTAAAAAATGATGGAAACTGTGTGATTTAGATATCACAATTGATTATACACCTATGGTAATTAAGGCAGCCGGATGTTCTCAGAGGTGTTGACAAATTGACAATGACAGAAATTGTCCCTCCAATTATAAATTTACAGAAATGTGAAAAATTGATTCTGACCCAGAGGTATTTCAGATAAGTGGGAAAAATTGAATATTTGATTACGATACTAAGACAGTTGGTTATCCATTCAGAAAAATGTTTAAAATATATTAAAATGTACAAAAAGTCCTTTCTTGATTGAATAAAAACCTTCTTTTTAAGAGGAAAAAAAATTCAACTTTTTAAACATAGGGAAAAGATTTCTGAACTTACAAATGGTTGAGATTTATTAAAATCGTGTAAAGTGCAAACAACATAGTTATTGTTGCAGAAATTCAACTATGTTAAAAATAAAACACTAGTTCATCAAATGACACCATTAAAATGCAAACAAGAATATACTTTCTTAGAATATATATTCACAACACATTTAATAGCCGTACATTAGAACCAGATCCCATGGGCTCATTAACACTGGAGAGGCAAGAAGGGCAGTATTAGGGCCAAAACTTCAAGGCTCCAAAAAGGAGAAGTGAGAGCCTTAAAGGCAGGTGCCCTCCAGGGAGATTAAAACAGGAGATGATGGTTGGGATTTTCCAACCCCGCCTCTATTTCAAAATGGCCATATTCCATGATGGGAGCAGCTTCCCTGAATACCCATGAAGGCAGACATGTGCAGAGCTGCCAGTCATCACCTGTCACAGGACCTACGTGGGTGGCAGGAGGCAGGTCCTCTCATGCCCAGGCCGTGTCTCACAGCGGCAGGCAGAGCCCAAGAACAGGATAAAAGGGCTCAGGGCCAGAGCACCCCATCCACTCACCTCCTGAGGTGCCAAAGGACCCTGTGCTGCTTGTGACCTCCGTAAGTGTCCCCCGGGTACTGGTGAAGGGGCTTCCACAAAGGGATGCCCTGATCAGGGCAGGAGGGGAGGCCAGGCATGGCCTCCAGGGCTGAGGTAGTGCTGGCATCCATATGAGTGAAAGAGGGAGTCTCAAAAGAACTGAGGAAGGGCAATGGGGACAGACAGTGGACATGAGAAGAGGAAGTCCCGTGATGGTGACTTGGTGCTCTGGAGAAATGAGATGGATCTAGAGTTCTCGGGTCTCTCGTCTGAAGCCATTGCAACATTGTCATGTTCACCTGTAGGTGTTTTTAGAAAGGGATCTTTACCTTGGAAAATATAACTGTCCTTTCTTGAAAAGTTGAGATGGAGACAGTGGTTCCCAGGCAGTGTAGAGGGTATCACAGCTAACAGACTCGCTTAAACTCACATTTAATGGTGCTTGGTGAGACAGCCAAAGTAGACAAAAAATATATACAAGTGCTGAGCATTCGGTACAGGTGTTTGTCTGCTGAAAACGTCAGAGCACTGGACTAAGTCGGGAACCTGGATAAGAGTCTCAACGTAATTAAATGATATTTTTCCTCAGTTCTCCAACATTCTTTACAGTTCTGAACTTCGATGTCCTTACAACAAGATAATCTAGAAACTTCTTCCAAAAGAGAATTACTGTTTTCCCTTGAAAAACCACTTTGTTTCCAAACTCCTTTGTAGACTGTTTTCACGATTCAGGTGTATAGTGGAAGCAGAATGTCTCCTCTACATATTCCATGCTTGATTTTGAGAATGCTTTCTTAATATCTTTTGGCCTCATTTTTCTAATTATAAAATAGCTGAAAATGCTTTATGATTTTATAAGTATATTAAGAGCATTAGGTTCAAAACAGAGGCTATAAGTGTATTTAGTCAATTATTAGAAATAATGAAACTTCCAGAGATTAATTAGCTACAAATACACTTAAGCAGTTCATTGAAATGAAGGGATTAGAAGTTATGCTGAATGGGGATAACTTTCTAAGAATAGGCAGGAATGGTCTCTTTCTGGGTCTAACTTGCTGTCTGTCTCTCCCCCAGCTCCTGAACACCCGCCTCCAAGATGTCCTGCCAGCAGAGCCAGCAGCAGCAGTGCCAGCCCCCTCCCAAGTGCACCCCCAAGTGCCCTCCCAAGTGCCCTGCCCCTAAGTGTCCCCCAAAGTGCCCCCCTAAGTGCCCTCCAGTGTCTTCCTGCTGCAGTGTCAGCTCTGGGGGCTGCTGTGGCTCCAGCTCTGGGGGCTGCTGCGGCTCCAGCTCTGGGGGCTGCTGCAGTTCCGGGGGAGGTGGCTGCTGCCTGAGCCACCACAGGCGCCGCAGGTCCCACCGCCACAGACCCCAGAGCTCTGACTGCTGCAGCCAGCCCTCAGGGGGCTCCAGCTGCTGTGGAGGGGGCTCCAGCTGCTGCGGAGGGGGCTCCAGCTGCTGCGGAGGGGGCTCCAGCTGCTGTGGAGGGGGCAGTGGCCACACTGGAGGCTGCTGCTGAAGTGGATCCTGTGCCTAAAAGAACACAAATGACCAAATATTTCCCTCTCCTCTTCCTTCTTCTGAGCCTGCCAATGTTGCTGATAGGTCTTGGTGAGGGCTGAGCTCAAGCATAGAGGATTCTTCTGTCTTGGAGTTCAGGGGCTCAAAAGTTCTCCCACAAAGCCTTTTACCAACCTTGTTTTGCATATATGTGGTTGCTCTGGGAAGCCCGAAGCACAGACCTATATCCCTTTGTAGCTTGTCTTTGTGCATAGCTCAGCCTGATGTAAAACAATAAAACTAGAAATATGCATTCCTTTTTGCCTTGACTGATTGTTATTTTTTCATTGGTTTTCACACTGTCCGCATCTCCAGGCTTTCCAAAGATGTCACTATCTACAGACCTTATTCAAATTTAGTCATTCTTCCTACTAATGTCCTTTATAGCAAAAGACAATTTTGTTGATTCAGAAGCCAAACCAGGATTCTTCATTGCCTTGACAGTAGTTGCCATGACTCCTCAGTCTCCTCCAATCCGAACAGTTCTTCACTTTCTTTGTCTTTCATGACATTGACCTTTTTAAAGGACCATCAGTTTTGTAGAATGCCCCTCAATTTGGGTTTGTCTGATGTTTGTTCTTGAGCGAGTTCAGATTACGCACTTTTGCAGAGATCCACAAAAGTGATGTTACCCTTAGAGCGTGATATTGAGCCTCACATGTGTCTAATTGTCCCATTGCTGGAGACACAACTTCCACCACTTGGTCTGCCAGCTTTCTCCATTGCAAATTTAATATTTATTCCTTTGAAACAAAAATTTGAGAAGAAGAGAATATTTCAGCTTTTTTTTTTTTTTTTTGAGTTGAAGTCTTACTCGCTCAGGCTGCAGTGCAGTGACGCGATCTCAGCTCATTGCAACATCTGCTTCCTGGGTTCAAGCGTTTCTCCTGCCTCAGCTGCCCAAGAAGCTGGGATTTTGGGTGTGTGCCACCACGCCTGGCTACTTTATGTATTTTTAGTAGGGATGGGGTTTCACCATGTTGGCCAGGTTGGTCATGAACTCCTAACCTCAAGTTATTTGCCCACCTCAGCGTCCCAAAGGGCTGGGATTACAAGGGTGAGCCACAGCAGCCAGCCCAAACATTTATTTGGTATCAAACATTTTCCCAACACGTTTTAAATATAATTGATGTTCTTTTACAAAACTATTATTACTATAATGTGGCTGGTATCACTGAGTATAGATTTTTAGCCATATCTCATACCCGGAGTCTATGTATACATGTGAAGCAAAGAGAGGTGGTAAGGAGGGGTCCTGAGAAGAATGAGCAATGTCCTGCAGTACAACTACTTGAAGGTCATTACAATTTCTTCTCATTGAATTTTTATTATATCTAATTTCCAGTGAGGACCATTCTTATCTATTTATCTCTCCCATACTATAACTCGATCTTCAGGTAAATTTCTAGAATACAATGTTTTTGTATAGAAAGATATGCTTATTATAAATTTAAACTCATTACACCTCAATAACTATCAAACTGCCATCGAGAATTGTTATGGCAACTTATATTACCATCTCAAAATATGTGTGTTACCGCAAATTGTCACACGCTATTTTGTTAATCATTAAAATAATTATCATTTTGAAATAACTAAATGAATCTGTTAGTCTCCTTTCTCAAATTCAAGATATTTCTTTTTTCTTTTGTTTGCATTTGTTTGAATATCAGTAAAGTTGAACATGTTTTTTGAATGTTTTGTTGTTTGTTTGTTTTAGATGGAGTTTTGCTCTTTTGCCCAGGCTGGAGTAAAATGGCATGATCTCTGCTCACTGCAACCTGTGCCCCATGGGTTCAAGCCATTCTCCTGCCTCAGCCTCCCACGTAGCTGGGATTACAGGCACCTGCCACCATGCCCTGCTAATTTTTGTATTTTTAGTAGAGACAGAGTTTCACCATGTTGGCCAGGCTGGTCTTGAACTCCTGACCTCAGGTGATGCACCCACCTCGGCCTCCCAAAGTGCTAGGATTACAGACATGAGCCACTGCGCCAGGCCTTTTTGAATTTTATTTGCCATTATATTTGCATGTGTGTGTGTATATATGTGATGGTTAATTTTATGTGTCAACCTGGCGAGGCTATGGCTCCCAGCTCTTGCTCTAGCACCAGTCATCAGTCTAAATGTTGTGAACATATTTTTTTTAGATGTGATTAATATTTAAGTCAGTAGTGTTGAGTAAATTAAGTCAGTAGAGTTGAGTAAAGGAGATTACCCCCCATAATATGGGTCGGACTCAGCCAGTCAAAGGTCTTAAAAGACTGATATCCAGTGAGGGAAAAAATATTCTGCCTCTGGGAACAAGGAATGCTTATATGCTCTTGATGGGAGTGTAAATTAGTCCAGCCATTGTGGAAGCCAGAGTGGCAATTACTCAAAGACCAGAAATATCATTCAACCCAGCCATCCCTTTACTGGGTACACACCCAAAGAAATATAAAATATTCTAGTATAAAGACACATGCACACGTATGTTCATTGCAACACTACTCACAATAGCAAAGACATAGAATCAACCTAAATGTCCATCAATGATAGACTGGATTAAGAAAACATGGTACCTATATACCATGGAATACTATGCAGCCATAAAAAAGGATGAGATCATGTACTTTGCAGGGACATGGATGGCTTTGGAGGCCATTATCCTTAGCAAAGTAACACAGGAAGAGAAAAACAAACACTGCATGTTCTCACTTAAAAGTGGAAGCTAAATGATGAGAACACATGGACACATGGAAGGGAGCAATACACACCGGGCCCTGTCAGAGGGTGGGAGAAGGGAGAAGATCAAGAAAAATAACTAATGGGTATTAGGCTTAGTACCTTGGTGATGAAATACAACAAAGCCCCATGACACAAGTTCACCTATGTAACAAACCTGCACTTGTACCCCTGAACTGAAAATAAAAGTTGAAACAAAATCTGCTTCCAGAATGATTTTGGACTTCAGACTGCAAGATCAGCCCTCCCCTGAATCTGCATTCTGCCATCCTTCCCCACAAATTTTTGTTTTGCCATCCCTGATAGTCACTTGAACTAATGCTGCAAAATAATCTTCTTTCCCTCTTTCTTGCTCACACTCACTTTACCAAAACCTAACAGAATCTAAAGGAATAGAATTTTAAGGATAAGTTTCTGAATGAGTTCTGGGGTTTCTGGAATTTGTTCTCTGGCCTAACTAGATTTAAATGCACGAATGAACCCTATTTCCCATAGTGAAGGGAATACTGATAGAAATGTGGCTATAGGGATTTGCAAATATCACTTTTAGATGCTTCCGATCAAATGCTCCTAAGAGACAAGGTTTTCTGACTCCTCCTCTCTTGGGCATTTTAGTGTCTCCCCTCTATCTGTGATGTGAGAGATATCTCTCCAGGGTAGATTTCCCAAAGTTCAGTCTTGGTTCTGGAATCTTCTCTTAGACAAGGGATAAATGGCTCAAGGCCAGTTGGTCTTTCCAAGGTGATCCGCATCTGGTCATAGAAAGCACTGATGCATCATTTGACCTATGCTTGCAGAGGAACCAGAAACTCATCTTTGCTTAGATGACAAAGCTGGTTTCATTTCCTCCACGTTTCCTAAGGGAAGAGTCGGGTCCTCGTTCTGCACACCCCTCATGTCAGGGATCCACCTGCAGACTCCTCCCTGGAAGGACAAAGAGGGCAGGATCCTAAGCTTCTAGTCCTAGGAAATTCTCTTTCTTCTTTTTATTTGCCAGAAATCTAGAGGATCTTTCTTATCCACCAGAAGTCCCAGTTTGATAAAATACTTATCCATAACTTTCACATAGTGAAACCCCAAACCTTGAGACTGGTGCAAATTTTTAATAAAATGTAATAGTGTATATATATGCACACACACACACACACACATACACACATGCATATACCCACACATACACATTTATGTATGTATATATACACATTTATGTATACATATACATACATATATGTATGTATGTATACATATATATACAATTAAATCTATATATGTATATAGGGATTTAAAATATGATGATGCAGGTGACAGTCATCAATGGGGAAAAATAACTATTCAATATCTAGAGTTAGAAAATTTTGTTAACTGAAAAGAAAATGAAAACCCTCATTTAGTATTAGATGCAAGACAAATTCCATAGGATTAAATATTTTAAGGAAATCAAATTGTAAAGAAAGAAGTACTTATAGCTAAATGTTTATCTTCTCTCAGGATTGAGAAAAACATTCTAAATATAAAAACAAAGAAATTATAAAGAAAAATAGACACAAATACATGCATATTAAATATTTCACTAGAGAAGAAAACAAAATTAATAGTGAAATAATGTTTTGGAATATTTTAATATATATAAAATATGATAGACTAAACACCTTATATAAGTGTGTATTAAATGTTACATATGTATAAATTTCTTAAACAAAATATTTTATAGAGCTACAAACTTAAAATGGTATCCTGGTAAACATCACTGCATGTATTTTCCAAATTAAGAAATAAATCATCAGAAATATGATTGAAACCATCCCCTTATATATTTCTTCTATCTAGACATATTCAGTATTCTGTATTTTTGTTTTTCTTCCTGTGTAATGTGTGCACTTTTCTGTGCTTATTTAACCTTAACTTATAATTTATTTATAAGTAAAAAATGTAACAATCCCCTTACGCTATATTTGTACTTAGCTACAGTTTATTTTTAATTTTTTGATATTCATTATAATTTGTATTTTTAATTTTCCAAAAGTGACCTACTCCATGACTTTGAGGCATTTATCTATTTAACACAGGTGACTCGATTTCATTTTCATTTATTCTCACTGTTGTATAGCATTTCAGTGTAAGAATGTTCGTATTTTACTTATGCATTCACCTGAAATTGGATACTTAACTTGGTTTCACTTTGTGCTTTATAAAAAGTGCTACTTTCTAATATTCTTACACATCCCTTGGAAGCTTTGCATCTAAGGCATAGACTTACAAGAAGAATCAGCAGGTCATTCAGTGTATCTGCCTTCAACTTGACTAGATATTGAGAAATTACTCTTCAAAAGTACTACGACTGTACACCCCCATCAGAGTACATGAAAATTTCTGTTACTCGACATCAATGAGAAGAATAAACAGTGAGACTTTTTCAATCTCACCAAGGTGGTGGATGTGAAATTATATACCATCAGGGTTTTTTCTTGCTTTTCTCTGATTCCTAGCAAGGTTGAAAAGCTTTTTCAAAAACTTATTGGTTATTGACTTTTCAGGTTTTCACTTCTAGAAATCAATTTTCATGTGTTTTTCTGCTTTTTCCTTTGAGCCATTGCTTTTTTCTCACTGATTTGTAGGATTCTTTATTTAGATACTTATTTGTTGTCAATTACATGTGTTGCAAATATCTTTTCATAATCTGTATTTTCTTCATCTTTTGTGATGTTTTCTGGTTAAAGAAAATTTAATATAACCAAACTCATGGGTTTTTGTTTGTTTATATCATGTTTGCCTCTGATGTGAACACATGTATATTATTTAGGAAATCTTTTCCATTAAAAGCCCATAAGGTTCTTCTATTAAAAATCAGTTTTGAAAATTTTTAATATATTTTCAAAGTTTTGTTTACTACATTAGCTCTTTGATTCATGGAATTTATTTTAATTATATGGTGTGAAGAAGAGGTATTTATTCATTGCCCAAATGAATAAGCAGTTGGTATGGTACCAATTACTGAATTGATTACTCTTAACCCACTTTTCTGTAATCCTGCCTCTGACATATTTCAGGGGTTTACATATTAATGAATTAATTTAGTTCCTATAACCTGTCACATTGTTCCTTAATCAATTGCTCACAGTCTTAATGACAATTGCTTTATAATTATGCTTGATGTTTGTGAGATAAGTACCCATGTCTTCTTCACGGTTATCCTGTCTATACTTGGCCTCTTGCTGTGTCATGCCAGTCATAGAATCAGCTCCTTAAGTTCCATTGATCTCCCTCTTGTGGTTTTTATTAGAATTACATGGAACCCACAAGTTGGCTTGTAGAAAATTGACCTTTTTAAGACAATGCTTCTTTCAACCCATGGATATGACGTTGCTTTCCATTCGTTATAGAAAGAACTTTAATGCCTTTCAATAAAATGTTATTTTTTATATTTGTTTATCTTTTGAGATATTGATTCTTGTCTCATATTTTTGTTGCTGATATCTATGGTTTTATTTTTAAATAACAATTTCTGATCATTGTTGTATATGTGTTGTATATTATAACAGCTTCAGTCAGGAAATATCTTTTTATGCCTAAACATAGAACCACAAAACAATTTTAATTATTGCTATATGTGCCTTTGTATGCCTGTTTCAAAATTTAACACCCTAAGTATTAAAGGTAAGTACTAAGTAGTGAGCATTTCCAATTTACTTTATTACACTATCATAGTTAACACCGTTGAATATTTAGATTTTCATATTTTTATGATAAGCTCCATGAAATAAAGGCCTGAAAATTGGAGTCTCTTGGTCAAAGTACATGTGCATTCTACACTGTAATTATTTTAACTCAAGAGCAAATATTATCTGAATGAATCAATCACCAGTTTACCTTTCAGAAAGTTATTCCAACCAGAGTAGCTTTTCCCACCCATATCCACTTTTGGTTTGTAAAAATTTAAAATCTTTGCCTATTTAATATGAATGCATATATTTGATAGAAAAATAAAATATCTTTTTATACATGTATTTTTATCTATAAATTTAACATTTTGTATTGCCTGCTTATCTCTTTTGTCCATTATTTTCACGGAATTTTTTTCTTAGTAATTTGTAAAGGATATTTACATGTCAACCATGTAGTCTTATTCTTGGGATATGTGATGTAATTTCCCCTCAATTGGTCATTTCGCTTTCAGGAGTGTTTATATGTTGCTCTTTTCCACATGACATTTTTATTCAGAAGTAAATAAACATCACATTTTCCTATGGTATCATGGTTTTGGGAGCCACCAGGCACAAGAAATAACGAACTATCCTTTTCTATTTTAAGAGTGTTATTTAATAATGTATGTTACAAAAAAAGGATCTAATGGGCAAAAAAAATAACCCATTAACATACATGGTGCTGATTCCAAAGCATAAAGTAACATACCACGCAGTATGAAGTTCGGGTGATTCTTTAAAAATTAAACATTTCCAAAAATGTGTCAATCAATAGCCAGGTTATAGATGGACATAGAAACAATTAGAAAAATATTATTACAGTTATTCCTATGTGGGACATAATGCATTACTTTTGATTTGCCTCATAGCTACATCCTAGATCCCAGCCACATCTACTTCAGTCTTGATAACAGAAGACCTAAAAAACCAGTCACTTGCTTAATAAAAATTTTATAAAATTTGTCATTGACATCATACAGTTAAGGCAAGCAGATCAAGCTTTATGAGGTGATAAACATGCTGCCAATTTACCATCCAGATCTGAATCAGATTGATAGATGTATTGGGTACCACGTCACTAGAGGCGTGGATCATGTGGTCCCTCAGGCCAAGAATCCTGAGAATCAGTGAGGTCTGCTTCTGAGTAAGACTTACCTATGAGCCAAGGTATTGATATCCTGAACACTCCCTTATAACAAAGCCTTTTGTAACAACCGGAGCAGGAAAAGAAGAGTCACACTCTGGCAGCATAGGCACAGATTTCTACAGGATGATATATCCTCAGCATGTGTGTTTGCATGCTCCAGGTTCTTATGCTGATGGTGTAAGTCATGTGAAATAACTATTCATAAACTCTATAGTGCTGTGCAAATGCTGGCTTCATTCCTGGCCAAAAAAGTGTATGTGTATATATATACATATATATACATATACATATATATATATATATATATATGTATGTATATACACACACACTTTTAAAAATAATGATGATGATGATAAATTGTAGTATGCATAAAATGTCCAAGGAATAGTTCTATGAGCTTTAAGTGTATTATCTCATTTAATAGTCCTAAAAGCTCATGAAGGGGAGGTCATTAAAATCCCCATTTTACAGTCAAGGAAACTGAGGCAGAGAGGTTAAATAGTTTGTCCTACATTATCTAAGTAGTATCAGAGCTAGGATTCATCTTCAAGATGTCTGGCTCCAAAGCCCCAAAGTTAGCTTCGAAGTACTTTCTCCAAGCTCAACCTCATCTTCACAGGCAGATCTGCTTTGAACATGTGCTCCACCCAATGCACACCTAATGCACACACCACACTTAGAAACACCACACACACACACACACACACACGTCAACAACTCCCAGCAGCAAAGCGGTGGGACACACGTGAAAAAGCTGAGAGGCTTCGGTGTTTCTTTGTTCAAACCTGGATGCCTGGAGCTCATAAATTGACATTGCTGGGGGAAGAAGGAGAACGTTTGGGAGACCACGCTTCAAGAGCGAGAACGGAGAGGCAGGCACCTCTAAGAGAATATGGTGCCAGGTGGTGGTAGGAATTCACTCCCACCCCATTTCTAAGTCATATTCCACGCTAGGAACAGCTCCCCTGAGCCCTGTGAAGAAAGGCAGATGAGAAGCTGCCAGTCACCCCCGTCACAGGACCCGTGTGGGTGTCAGGAGACAGATCATCTCATGCCAGGCCCTGTCTCACAGCAGGAGGCAGAGCCCAAGGACAGGATAAAAGGGCTCATGGCCAGAGCACCCATCCACTCACCTCCTGAGGTGCTGAAGGACCCTGTGCTGCCTGTGACCTCGGTAAGCGTCCACTGGGAAGAGAAGCGGGGGCTTCCACAGAGGAACACCCAGAACAGGGCAGGAGGGAAGGCTAGGCAGGGCTTTGCTGGGGAAGGGTAACTGGATTAGAAAAGGTAGAGAATGCTTAGAAATTCTGATGGAGTCCAAGCCGTGGGGCAGGAGAAATTGGAAGAACCTGGATGATTTGGATGTCTGTGCTTCATGCTCTAATCCAAATTAACTCTGTATTTTTTTAGTGTTTCCCATTGCGGATAAGTTAAAACAAACTTTCCTTTCAGAGAGTAGATTTTAGCAACTCAAGTGTGTTCCTTCCCCAAAGCCTGGACTGAGGTTATAGTTGTTCTCAAATAATGGAGACCAGAGACCAGAGGAACCCTATTTGGAGCTTGATAAACAGAGATACATGGCCATTACATCTTCATCAGGAGTCAGTTGGTGGGGAATGGTGTCTGGGCATCTGTATCAGAAGCCCCAATGTTAGGGCCAGGCACGGTGGCTCACGCCTGTAATCCCAGCACTGTGGGAGGCCAAGGCGGGTGGATCACGAGGTCAAGAGATCGAGACCATCCTGGTCAACATGGTGAAACCCTGTCTCTATTAAAAATACAAAAAATTAGCTGGGCATGGTGGCACGTGCCTGTAATCCCATCTACTCTGGAGTCTGAGGCAGGAGAATTGCCTGAACCCAGGAGGCAGAGGTTGCGGTGAGCCGAGATCGCGCCATTGCACTCCAGCCAGGGTAGCAAGAGCGAAACTCCATCTCAAAAAAAAAAAAAAGGAAGTGCCAGTGTTGAACATTGAGTAACAAGTTGAAATTTATGGTTGCCAGTGTAGCAGCTGGAGGAATCTGTGGGTTCTAAGAGGGAGCTTCACTAGGCCTAGGTTCACCAGACCAGAAAAGCTAGGGTCACGTGCCAGCTTGCTGCAATTGGCTTTAGACCTCATTTCTCCATTTATATTATGGCTTGGGATAACCAACTCGTATGATGACTCTTTGCAATTCTGACTATAATATATTGTGTTTTTGTGTCAACTAAATACAGCCATTTGAGAAGCTCCTCCAAAAGGGAATCTTTATTTTTATTTTATTATTTTATTTTATTTATTTTGAGACAGAGTGTCTCTCTATTATCCAGGCTGCAGTGCAGTGGCATGATCTTGGCTCACGGAAGCATTGGCCTCCTGGGCTCAAATGATCCTCCAGCCTCAGCCTCCTAAGTAGTTGGGACTACAGGTGCATGCCACCATACCCAGCTATTTTTTTTTTATAGAGATAGTGTCTTCTTGTTTATTTTTTTAAAAGCAGAGCCGCAGCTTTAAACTGGCTTCTAGATTGGACATTTCCAGAATTCTGAGTGGCGCAGAGGTGTAGATGTCAGTCAGATTCTGTGAATGTCAAATTGCCTTTTCCACTTAAAGGACATTAATTTTGGGCAAGTTTGTTAATATAGTCTTCCTCATTGTCTTGCTTGGTTAAAATAAGATAATCTATGTCTATTTTATAAAAATATCCTGATGATCCTATAAGATATTGTGAAAGCATCTGATAAACAATTTTGGAGATAATTTCTCTCTGACTTATTTGAATAGGTTTTTAAAATGTAGCAAAAATGAACGATGGTAAAAAGACAATAAGAGTGGCCTCTGTGCCTGGCTCTAACTTGCTGTTTGATCCTCCCTCAGCTCCTGAACACCCGCCCCCGAGATGTCCTGCCAGCAGAGCCAGCAGCAGTGCCAGCCTCCTCCCAAGTGCCCTCCCAAGTGCCCCACCCCTAAGTGCCCCCCAAAGTGCCCCCCTAAGTGCCCTCCAGTGTCTTCCTGCTGCAGTGTCAGCTCTGGGGGCTGCTGTGGCTCCAGCTCTGGGGGCTGCTGCAGTTCCGGGGGAGGTGGCTGCTGCCTGAGCCACCACAGGCGCCGCAGGTCCCACCGCCACAGACCCCAGAGCTCTGACTGCTGCAGCCAGCCCTCGGGGGGCTCCAGCTGCTGCGGAGGGGGCTCCAGCTGCTGTGGAGGGGGCTCCAGCTGCTGCGGAGGGGGCAGCGGCCAGCACTCTGGAGGCTGCTGCTGAAGTGGACCCTGCACCTAGAAGAGGAGATGTGGGTGGAAGGAGTGATCAGATAGATATTTCCTCCTCATCTTTCTCCTCCTGGGCCTGCATGAGTGGCTGAGATGCCCTGGTGAAGGCTCTGAGCTCTGGCCTGGAGGATCCCTCTGCCCCAGGGATCCAGAAGTTTGATTCTTCTCCCACAGACCTATCTGCTGCCCCGACACCAACTGTGTTGTCTACTATGGGATCCCAAACCGCAGACTCAAATTCACCCACCAGCTCATTTCCCATTTCCTGCAGCCTCAAGTGAAACAATAAAGCAATAGATCTTCTTGCCATTTATTCTGGACTGCTCCTTTCCTGCTTGTGTCTCCAGTATTCTTTCCATTGCTATCTATTTTCCTGCTGCCCGGAGGCTTTGGAAATCAGAGACTTGCTAGTCACATGGCTAAAGGCAGGGAAGAGGAGAGAAAAACATCTCTGGTTCCTACTCTGACACCTTATGTCAGATGCATCACTATGTGGCTCTGCCTGGGCCCACCCTCCTGGTGTCTCAGGAACACAGAGACTTGTGCTTTGGACTTTCTCCAGGGTCCCACTCGGTCCCCAGGGTTTGGTAGGGAAACAGATGTGCACCCCATTCTTTCATCCATCTCCTCCCCTCCCCTTTACAATACTGCCTACTCACTCCCAAATTTCGTTCTCTTTCAGTAAAAAAAATTAGAAAATTATACATAAACTTTCTGCAAATAGACCATGAATCTCAGACCATTCTAACTGCAAGTATGCATATAACATGTAGTAAGTATGCATATAACATGTAGTAAGTATGATTTTAGAAAACATAAAAATCCATAGAAAAGGAGTCAGGAGTTTAAAATGTTTCTCTCCCAGAGTCCCAAGTTCAAGCTTTCCAGTCAAACATTTCATTTCTATATTTTGTAAAGAAGTCCTGATTTTTCATCAACATTTTTTCAATGACAAATTTTACATCAGATTGAATAATTGTTAACTTTTGTGTGTGTGCATAATGCCTCAATAATTTTATTATGAACTGGATAAGTGGGCCATGCACTACATTTACTTTTTAAACCATGAAAAAACCCCGGTGTCTGGCAGATCAGACAGCAAGAACATTTAGGAATAATCTGATGTGTACCTCACAAATGCCTTGTTTAATACTACCTCTAGGTGTCCCTGTGTCTTTGGTCAGTCACCCAAGATTCAAAGTCCCGTGAGGCAACATCCAGTACTCTGAATCTCAGCCATGTGCCTGCCTCTTAACTATCTGGGGAGACTAGATGAAGATATATTCCCTTTGGCTTCAGTAACAAGAAGAACCCCTCCAAAGAATTCAACTAGCATATTAACAAGTATGGAGCTGATGGTTGGCCAAAGTGACAGATGATACCATTCCCCAGAAGGGAAAGAATGTTCCAGATGGGACCAGGCACGCTCTAAGATCCAGGTTTCTTTCTCCCTGCTAAGGACAGGTGCTATGTAGCCATCTCAGACCAGAGTTCCACGAAAGCCAAGACTGCGTTTTTTCGTAAGGTCGTAAAGATTTTCTTGTATATTTTCTTCTATGATGTTTATTGTTTTAGCCCCTCAGTTAGGTTCTAGATCCATTTTGAGTTAAATTTTTTTAATGTTAAAAGGATCAATTTTATTATTTTGTTTGTGGTTTTCCAGTTGCCTTAGCATTATTTGTTGAAAGACTACTGTTTCCTCATTGAAACAGTAAAAATTTTGGCACCCTTGTCAAAAAATCAATAACCATCGATTTATGGTTTATTTTTGACAATTCTCTTCCATCGTTCTTTGTGTTTGGCTTTAGTTGACAGTTTTGTTTTAATTTTTGTTTTTTTGTTTTTCTTCTCAGTATTTTGAAAATGTCATTCCCATGCCTCTGGCTTCTATTGATTTTGATATAAATATAATTGGGGTTATAAATATTATTGGGGTTCCCCTGTAAGTGAGGAATCAGTTTCCCTTCACTGTTTTCAGGAGTTTCTCTTTGCTTTTTTTCCCCTATACTTTTACGATGATGTCTCTAGATGTGAATATATTTGTGGATCTCCTACTTTGAGTTTGCTGATGTTGTTAAATGAATAGATTAATGTTCTTCATCAAATTTAGTAAATTTTACATCATTATTTTTGAATTTTTTTCTGTTTTGTGTCCTTTCTCTCTATCCACTCCTTCTTGTACTCCTATTACGCATATGTTGGCGTCCATGTGTCACAAATTTTCCTGAGGCTCTGCCTACTTTTGTTCATCATTTTTTCTCTGTTATTTAGATTGCTTAATCTCTATTGATCCATTTCACTTGCTGATTCTCTCTTCCGCCAGTTCAATATATCATTGAGCCTCTGTAGTGAATTTTTCATTTCAATTATTTTACTTTTCAACTGCAGAATTTCAAGTTAGTTCTTTAAAAAAAAAATTCTACCTGTTTATTGACATTCTTTGTTTTATAAACATTACCATACCTTCCTTTACTTCTTTAAGCACAGTTTTCTATAATTCTTTAAAAGTGGCTACAATGGCTACTTTGGAATCTTCGTTTAAGTCCAGCCTTTGGGCCCTCTCCTGGGAAGTTTCTGTTCATTGCTTCTTTTCCTGTATAAGGGTCATACGTTCCAGTTTATTGCATGTATCTTATGTTTTTTTCTTTAAAAGTGGTTATTTTAGACATTAGAATGTAGCAACTCTGTATTATAATCTTCCTCTCCCCTCAGGGTGCGCTGTTGCTTGTTTATATGTTTGATCATTTCGATAGACTATATTAGTGTGGTCTATTTCTCCTGAAGTGTCATGTCTCTGATGTCACTCCTCAGGGGGCTCAACCCTGGGCTTGCTCACGTTACCCTGAATGACAGTAGGTTTAGCAGAGCTCTCTTTGCTTATCTCTTCCCTGATTTCTGTGTTAAGCTATCGCTGTGGGCATCACACACAGCTGTTAGGCTTCACTAATTGCTGACAGATTGCTTTATTATTTTTGACAATGTCCTGGCACATAAACTCCTTCATAATTGGATCCAATTAAGTCCAGGTCCCTTTGCAAGAGTAGTGTTTGAGGTCAGGTTTGAAATTTGTTCTACACCTAGGAAGACTCTGCTTAGCCCTCACTTTCCTTGGTTTTCTCTGGTAAACAAGCTGCCCTGTTGTTCAGCCTATTGCTCTTATGACTCAACACCTCCTCTTAAATGCTTGCGGACAAAATATCTCCTATTTAACAGATTGCCTTTAGGCTTCAACATCCCCACACCCTTTTCCAAATATAGTCAGTTCCTCTCGTGAGAACTTTGAGTTCTCTGGGTTTTCTGGCCTTCTTCTTCCTTGGACAAATTCTCTTAGCCACTGCTCCTGAGCTGCAGGCAGATGTCTCCTGGAGCTCCCTGCTGATTCATGAGCAGAGTACTTTAATGGGGTGGCAACCTCTTCTCTTCTTGGGTTGCTTCTCCCACCATCAGCCCTCCACCCTACAAATGAGCTGGGACTAAGGCCTTTGGTGTTTCAATATTCTTGCCCTGCTGCACCTGAGATAGACTTACTGCATGCCCCATGAGTGGGAGATGGCAGAGTAAGAAAGCCCCCAATCTCTTAGAGTTCCCCTCCTGGAATTTACCCTCTATGCCACAGAACTAGGGGCAGAGGTGTAAGAAGTGCTGGCAGCCTCCCCCTCACAGGAAGACACCGAAGATCATGATCTGGAGCGAAAAGGGGATGAAGCCTTATCTTATTGATTGTATCTTCCTAGAGTAGAGCTACCATCATGCCCAGGAAGAGATTAGGGAGGGTGCAAGTTGTGATTCAAGTGCCACAGACTCTTGCCATTGTTACTATGATTTAGTAGATTTTCTTGAATAAATGGTTTTAATTTTCTGTATACCCTTAGGACAATTTACGAAGACTAATTTTTTTTTCAAGTATTAATTGTTTTGCTAGGGGAAGGGTCTAAGGAGTTCTTCATGGCAGTGTTCTGAAAGTCCTCCCTAAAGGGTTTTTTATTTCATTTGTTTTAGGTTTTCTACAAGGCTTTTTAAAAAATACTCTGAGTTGAGATTTTATGTATTCACAGATTTCTTTTATAATTTACTCTTTAGAAGTTTTAATAAAGAGTTGTGAACAACCTAAGCTCTGAACACAGTTTTAATTATTTTCTTCTAAATCTTAGAAGCTTTCTCTCCTCTTTCTCTGGATAGTGAGAGAGAGAAAAAAGAGATTTACTAGTTTGATGAAGAAAACACTACATTAAGCCCTTCTTTTGCCAATGACAAATTTTTCTATTGAAATGGAAACCAAACCACTTATACCCAATGGTCTACTTCAGGGGTGTCCAATCTTTTGGTTCCCCCAGGCCACATTGGAAGAAGAAAAATTATCTTTAGCCGCACATAAAATACATTAATATTAACAACAGATGATGGGCTAAACAACAAACAAGACACACAAAATTTCATAACGTTTTAAGGTTTGCAAATTTGTGATGGGTCACATTCAAAGCTGTCCTGCGTCACATGCGGCCCACAGGCTACGAGTTGAACAGGCTTGGTCTAGATGAACAAGCCAGTCCTCACGATGTTATAGTCTTGAGTACAAGTTGGGATAATTTGTGGTTTGCATACCATCCGACCTGAAGAAAAAAAGGTAGGATGAGATCTCTCGGCCCTTCCTCCTAAGAAAACATAAGCAGGGCTGGGTTCTAAAATAGGAAGTACCTATAGAAAACATTATATAGGTTTTCTGAACACTCCCCTCAAACTAAACTCCTTGGGACAGTCTAGGTAAAAATATAACAATGTTCAGGAAATATAGTTGAGGCGTCCACAGCGTGATGTGGACAATCTCAACCTCACTGTAAGTGTCTGATTTTGTCATGGGCTGAGTCCATATTTCATCAGAATTAACTGACTCAGGAACATTTGAAAAGCATTCTGTAAACTGTGAAGTTATGTGCAAATGTTTGTGATGGGGATTTTTAAAAACTTAGTAATTAACAAACCTAATAACTAGTAACTGTAATGAACCATGTGTACGCTGAAATGGGACACGAAATATACAGGTCACAGTCCCATGTTCAAGGTATTAACAATATCACATGCAAGTATAACTGTTTATGATAATAAATTATATGAATAACAAGCAATAAATGCTCTGAAAGAATTTCCCTGCCAGGCATTGTCCAGAAAGTCTTTACAGAGAACATGGGATTTGGACTGGCCCTCTGAAGTATTCTCAGAAGAGGAACCAGGAAATACAAGAAAGACAGAAGAAAAGAAAAGAAGAGGAGAGGAGAGGAGAAGAAGGGAGGGAAGGGAAAGAAAGAAAAAAAAGAAGGAAAGAAAGAGAAAAAGAGAGAGAGAGAAAGAAGGAAAGAACAGAAAGAAAGCAGAAAGAAAGAGAAAGAAGAAAGAAAGAAAGAGAAAGAAAGAAAGAGAAAGAAAGAGAAAGAGAGAAAGAGAGAAAGAGAGAAAGAGAGAAAGA